TACGCCAGGAGGTGGACCTGTAGCAAATTTAGCTACATTTATAATTACATCATGTGTTTCCATAAATCTTGGTGAATCTCTTGGTAAGATATCTGCCTATTTGGAAATGTCCTACTTAGATATACCAATGAGTCATGAAGGCCAACATAACAGAGAGCAGCACCCTACCACTGTACCTGAGCCCCTAGGCAAACATATCATTGGCCTTGTACTGTATTTTAAGAAATGGCCACCAAAATGATGGAGTCAAGCCTAAGAGGCCCTCCTTTTGAACCTTTATTCTCAGTGCCAAATTTGAAGATCCAGGTTTGCTGTGCTTAAAAGGAGCCATATAGTCTTTGACAGAAGCTGTATTATCTCAGAAAAGTTACTTGACTTCTCTGTGCTGTGCCTCAGGTTTTCTTAGTCATAAAATGAATATGACAGCATGTTTCAGTTCCTCTCCCGGTGCTGGGACAGAACAGCTGACACCCAGAAGCTAAAGGAGGAAGGGTTTGCTGTGGCTCACAGTTTGCACAGGTTTCAGTCCATAGTTGGCTGACTCTAAGGCAGGGTGACATGGCACAGGACATGGCAGAGAAGCAGCTCATGGCAAGGCAGTAAGAATCCCAGAGGGATCAAAGAATGAGTAAGGAGACAGATGAGGCCACCCTCCTAGTGACCCACCTACTCCAATCAAGGTTCCCCTTCCAATATCATATCCAGCTATAAATCTATTGGTGGACTGATTCAGTATCACCTTCTCATGATCCAGTACCACACAATCATGATACAGTCACCTCCCCAAATCCCCACCTATGAGTGCATGAGGCTTTGGGAACACATTGAAATATAAATCATAACACAGCACTTATATTTGAAAACACTATAGATATTATAAGGATTAATATTTGTGAAATTCTTAAGATCTATCTATGGCATAGTCATTAAATAAGTGCTACTTACATGTTTGGTGAAATAAAAATAATAATTAATAAGTTATGTATTAAACATCAGACAAATTAACACAAAATTAGAATTTATTAGTCATTAACAGGTATGGTAGGACAAATTCTAAGATGCTTCTAAGATTCTAGGGCTCTGGTACATATACAAGGGATGATCAAGAAAGATAGCAAATGAATAACTTTTAAAAACTTATTGTCAAACACAGCACATTGCCAAGAATGTGTTGAGATATGTGTGTTCAAAGTGAGGGGAGTTAATGGCAATGTGACTTTTACTGTAATAAATGGTTTGGTATTCACCGTACTTTTTGATCACCCCATGTTGAGTAAACATTTAGGCAATTTCTGTTGAATAAATACATTATTCTGAGACCGCATCTATCTTATTAACTAGATCTGGCATCATGAGACTTCTAGCTTTCCCTAAAATCAAAGTGATCATGAAAAATAAAAACTTTGAATGGATTCAGGACATCGAGACAGCCATGGCAATGCAACTAAATACATTGACAAAAGAGGACTTCCATAACTGCTTCAGACAGTGACATTAACAATGGAAAAAGCATGTTCCAACTGAGAGGAAATATTTTAAGAGGTATTAGTGGCAATTGTGTGCCATTGGTGTCTTTCTCTACATATTAAAATTTAACTATTCACTCACGGTACTATTTGATCACACCTCATACCTCTCAAGCAATTCAGACACTAGTCTACATTCTCCTTTAAAGAGGTTTTGTAGATGTAGTGAACGTGTCAAATCAGGTGAACTGAAATCCAGGGTATCATCCAGGTAGGCCTGACCTAGTCCAGCAAGTCAATTAGAAGCAGAGAGCTTTGTCTAGCCAGTCATAGGATACACAGTCAGAGAAAACACTGTTCTGTTCTGTTCTAAGAGAAAGTAAACATCCATGCTGGGATGTCTGGTGGAGGCCAGACACATGGAACTGGGTGGTCTCTAGATTCTGAGAGCAGCCTCTGACTGACAGCTGACAGGAAAACGACAACCACATTCCTACATCTGCAAGGACTTCTACCAGCAACCAGTGAGCCTGGAAAGCAGATCTGTGGGCCAGATAACACTACCATTGTCCTGGTCAACACCTTGGTTTCAGCCTTATGAGACTGTACAGAGAATCTAGCCACCTGCACCTAAAATTGTGACTTACGAAATGTATTACACAACTAACCTGTATTCTTTTAAGCCACTAACTTTTTGATAATTTGTTATGGACCAACAGAATACTATTATGCCAGGAAGGAAAAGGAGAAAAAGACAAATGTATAACACGACTAGTAAATGAGCAGCCAATTTTATTCAAAGCGCAGGTTTTCCTCCACCCTACTACATTACAGTGAATGATTTTGTCATTGACAAAGTCCATCCAAAATACTCTTTGTTCAAGAAAATAAGATAGGCATCATTCTCTCTCCGCCAGCATCACTGGTGGGACAAGAATGACTCACTTATCCAAAGAGGCAGCAAATTTGGCGTCCTGTAAGCTGGCTCATGAGTTCAGGGAAAGGGCCATGTTATAAGCAGGCCTACACATGGCACAACCTCCGGGAATCACATTTGGACTTTCAATCTACAGCGTTGCTTCTGACTTCATGTTCCAAATCCTCCTAGGAAAATATGCAGTGGGGCTTTAGAGCCTGGAGAGCTCTGGGACTGACTGGAGCAAAGAGAAGGCAGAACATGGAATAACTAAAGGATCTGGCTTCTACGTTAAACTCTGGCTCTACCCCACCTACTGCAGGACTTTTTGCAATTTCCTTCATCCCTTTGCACCACGTGTGAAATGGGGATATGAATTGTGAGGATGCTTATAAATCACTAATGCATAATGCCTAGCTTTCAGCAAGACCTCTAAAATGGGAGCTGTTATTTAGCTGCTTTTCACGCTGACCTGATCTTATATTGAATCCCTGAAGCTGAGTTTTTGTGATGTTAGAAAGGCCCAACCCTGTGCCCCAGAGTAAATAGCTGAGCACAGCATGGCCCCCCAGTTTCTGAGTGATTAGTGTCTGTTTAATGCTTGACGACTCCAGCTTGGTGTATAATGTATCAGATCATGCCACTCAGCCCATTTCAATCCCAGAATTAAAAGGTCGTCCTTTCTGGGCCCCTTCCTCTTACTGTCTTCTTTTATTGTAACATGAATTGTGACAGCAATGTGCACAAGTTTACCAGGGTTTCTACCAAAGAAAAACAACGCAAAATGGCTGTGAATTTGCAGCCTAAGAGCCAACAAAATGATTATTATTTTTTAAAGATGGCGTAATGAGGCTAAGTTTATACCCTCATGAAGGTGGAGGTTTATTAAATGTCACTTAACCAACTTTGATGACAGAATTTATGAGGTTGTGCTGCATTTGGGATGATAAAGCATTCAAAGCATATACTACTTATAAATATAACTACATCTGGATGCATAAAAATGTACTATTTAGAATCCTCTGAGCAGTGCTATGTGAAGTAATTTCAAAAATTCCCTAAACTTCAATGAAAGAGGTGGTGGTAGTATTTTTTTCCATTTGTGAGGATGACCACCTACTATATAGATTTACAAATTGGTTAACTTCCTGGAATATTTTAGAATAAAATATTCTAGTAATTCCATTTCAGTCTTGGATTAAATTCAGTGGATTTGACTGAGGGAAGATTTAACATAAACAAGGGTTTGTCTGATACATTTTATATAAGAAACCAGGCTATTTTTTGAAATGATGTCTTCAAAAAGAAAACTACAGCAACATGCCTGCAACTCTTCACTCTTTGGCAAAAGAAAGATTCCTAGACTTGAGCATAAGATTCAAAGAGTGAAACATCTTTATCTATCTCACTCACTGTCACTATTTTGTTGCTTACAATAGTACCTGCAGTCCAGACATAAGCACTCACTAGAAAGTTCCTAAATAAATGAATTCAGTGAACTAATGCAATTAATTACTAAGCAAGTGGCAGGATACTGATATTCATTAGCTATCTAAATTCTAAGCCGTAAATATAATGATGATCAAATTAGGAAGCAAACAAACAGGAGGAGGTAAGTTCCTTCATTACAGTTGAATTATTAGAAGGAAATATGAATTATTATTGGAAGAGTAGAAAACCCACTGCCAGTAGATTCTGTCTGCACAAAGTTTTTGTTCCTGAATGGAAATTTCCAGAGTCTCTGCTGTAAACCATTTATGATGGGTCTTTTATGAGGACGTACATTAGCTGAAGTGATTATGTGACAACAGCGCCATCTCCTGGGAAAACTAGTTGGGCACGTTAGAAGAATATTTTAGTGTTTTTATTCATGTAGCAAATTAAATTAAGAATCTTGGGAAAATTATAATGAAAATATCTTTACAGTTGATCTAGGCAATATGTTCTCTTATAGGTAAGGGTTTGCGTTAAGTGGTTACAATGTTTTCTTTATTTCTATTGTAAATGAACCCCAAATTGATCTCTGAAAGAAATCGTTGAAACTACAACCATCAATACTAAACTACATCATGGGTTTCCTGTAAATCTGAGAATGAAAAGAAGTTAAAATCCATTCATTGAGAATCTAAAGATCTCCAATAAAAATGTCTGCAATGTAGCTCAATACAGTAGCCACTAGGCCTGTGTGGTTTTTAAGCAGTTGAAATGTGGCTCATGACATTGATGAAATGGATGTTAAAATTTCTAAATGACTTTAATTATTTTATTTTTTAATAATTTTATTGAGAAACAAATAGCAATGAGACAGTTTCAAAACCGATTAGTAGGACAGTTTCAATAATTAATACATTGCATATCGTTGTCTTCTTAGTGGTTATTCATAGTATAAGATGCAGACATGATACCCTGTCCACAAACAGTATTAGTACAAATCTTTCTATTCATTGAATTAAGAGAAAGTAGCTGCATATCAATCCTATTTTGAATACACAGATACAAAATGGTCAAGGCTCAAGTCAACAACTTCTGACATTGCCAGTCCTACGGATAACCCACTACTACTATGCACTACTGGTCTATAATGGAATGTTTTTCTGTATTCACGCACCTACAATATTGAAATGACAATGGAATATTCTTCTCTGACAAAATTATTTTAAAATTATACATAATTCATTTTAAATTACCCACATACAGATAAGGCTGGGTTTTTCAACCCCTGCACTATGTATGTTTTGAGTTAGTAATCCTTTGATGTGTATGATGAGTCCTATGTATTATAGGATGTTAGCAGCATTCCTGGCCTCTATCTTCTAGGCAGAGGCTGATATGATATGTCCCCTCAGCTGTGACAACCAAAAATGTCTCCATATATTACTTAATGTTTTGTGGATGGGAGGGAAAAAATCATCCATTGTTGAAAACTTCTGAACTAGCAGCTACCATATTCAACAACACAATTGTAGATTGTGGCATTTTAATTTAGAAGAACATTCCCCTACACTAGGACAGGAGTAGTTCTTTCATAAGAACAGGAAACATACAAGAAAATAGGCCTAAATGAAAGAAACATCTGATTTCCCATGTCACAAAAATGGACCCAGGGTACTAATGTTGGAAAATCCTTCCTTGGTTGAAACTCCCTGGGTTAACATCAGAAAAATCTATGTTTGAATCTGGTTCCTCTCTCACTGATTTGAGTAAGTGAATGCGTTGATCTTCCTGAGTTTCATTCAGCGTATTACCTGGGGAAAGTACCCATCTGCTAGGTTGGCTGCGAGGGCTAAATTAGGTGATGTATAATGTTTTAGTTGCTTAGTGCTTTACATGTAGTAGATATTCAAAAGAGGAGCTATTAACAAATTTAGACTGTCTTCCAATCAGAGGGGAACATCTTTATGCCTTATAAGTTATCACATACAGTATGCATTGTGTTTCAATCACAAATAAAAATTGAGTGGAAGGAAACTAGCCAAGATCTATGGCCTAATCTTAAGTTCCAATGACCACAACACTTAATTATGTTCTGTTGCTGCTTCCGAATCCATCTCTTCAGCACAATTAGTGTGGAGGAGAAACTGCTTCATTGTCTCGGGAAGGGCGAGCTCGGTTATCTTATGATGTTGCTGAATTCCAAAGCACTGTCGGATTTTCAAGCGGCACAACTCCATCAAAGAAGAGGGCCCTGGAGAAAGATCATAAAACAATCTCACACCAGTTTCATTGATACAAGGCTGTTTTTCTTTTCCTTTTGTTAAAAAAAGAATACAAGGCTAAAAATTGTTATAAGGAAATAATATGGCACTATTTAAGACCACTTTCCGTTTGGGGGGTTTCTGTGACAGGCATTTGTAGATTTTTCTCTTTTCTTATGTCTAACTGAAATAAACTCATTGGGTTTTAACTTAGAACAGAGTTCAAGAAACTTAATGCTTGGCCTTACTAGCAGAGGTTAAGAAAACTAACTTGAAAATTATAAAGCTACACACAAAAAGCTCTAATAATGAAACTAAAATTCATGTTTAATGGCATTCTTGGCTCTTTTATGATAAAAATGAGGTCACAGTTCTGGATGTGAGCATGTTTATTTTATAGTTCGAGCAAATTTTAAGATATTCTGATATAATGAAATAGCTACGAATCTTAAGTGTGTGCTATCTTATTAAGGCATATTTGCTTTCATATTTGTAATGCAGAACTATCCTAAGCTTCAACTCATAGATGAAAAGAATTAATATAAACCTTTCACAGGGTATATTAAAATGCTTCCATTTAAGGCTTGGAATCTCCACTTGGGAGAGGTTGGGAAGAGAGAGAAAAATAAAGGGAGCTTCCCAGGGGACACTAGGCAATACCTGGAGACAGGTTTGGAGATATTTAACTATCATCACTTGGGAGCATGCTGGTAGAATCATGTCATGGGTAGAAGCCAGGGGTGCTCATAAACATGCTACAGGGAATAGGACAGACTTTGACTGGCTCAAACTTTCTCTAATGCTAAGGCTGAGAAACCCTGTTACAGGATGGAAGGATGGGGACTGATTTCCCACCTCCATGCTCACTTTCTGCATCATCCTGTAGTGTAAATTCTCTTTGTAACTCTCAAGGAGTTTCAGTAGTCCTCCATCTCAGCTATACTTCAGAATTGCCTAGGATGGAAGAACTCCAAGATACACGATGTTGGGCCCTACAGAGATGATCCTTCAGTTATTGTTGGCTCAGAACTGTGTATACGGACTTTTTAAAAAGACATAGGCCCTCTGCCACAGTTGAGAACATAACAAAAGGACCATGTGGCCTCTATTGTCCATAAGCTGACCAAAGTCTACAGGGTCAACTGCTATCTCTCAGGTGATAAAGAACAAGGAGGGGTGTAAATAGATAAATAGCAAAGAAATGAATGCAAAGGGTTTTTTGTTTTGTTTCATCATACTGGAGATTGAATACAGGGCACTTACACTGAGCTACATTTCACCCTTTTTTCTATTTTTTTTTTATTTTGAGACCAGGTCTTGCTCAGTCACTAAACTGTCCAGACTGACCTCAAGTTTCTATCCTTCTATTTCAGTCTCCCAGAGTGCTGAGATTACAATCATAGAGTACCACTGCTGGTTGAATGCAAGATTTTAAATTGGCCCCTCACAGCACTTTGTAATGGCTTATAGTATGGCTTATATCTAGATACTGCCTGAATCCTCATGCACTTATAGATGGGGCTTGGGGGAGGTGGCTGAACAATGATTGTGTAGTACTGGATCTAGGGTGTGTGGTACTGGAATTAAGGGTACATGATAACTAAATGAGCTTATCATAGTTCTGAGTGTGGATGATGGAAGCCTCACTCAGTGTGTATGGCAATAGTGAATAGGTTTGTAGCCTGGACAGATAACAAAGGGACAGAAAGAAGGTAGCTTTGCTCACTTATGCAGCTAGCTGCCTTCTGCTGGCCACACTATGAACTGTTTCTCCTTTGTGATGTTCCTCTGACAAAGAAATCCTGGCTTGGAGCCAGCCAACTATGGGCTAAAACCTTTATAAACTGTCAGCTAAACAAATCTTTCCTCCTTTAATTTGTGGGTGTCCGGTGTTTTGTGCTAGCAATCAAATCAGTAACTAAGACAGGCCTTGTTAGAATTTAGGGCACTTTTCAAATTATAGCCAACACATTGAAAGCCTGTACTAATGGTGCAAAAATTACACTGTGGAGAAACAGACCTTAATCTAACCTCACTAAGGAATGACAAAAGCTTTATTAATAATATGTGCTGTATGTACCATCAGGAGGTAGTGATAAAGCACTATAATGAACAAGATCTGAAAGCAAGGCTGGTACAAGATTATGGAAGGCAGGAAAGGACATCAGAACAAGTACAATGTAATATTGATGCTAATTGAAGCATTGCTGTGTACTACAAGTTGGACGACTTATAAAAATTGTAGTTCTTATTCCATATAAACAGAACTGAAAATCCACTACAACTTTGCAGCCACTCACTGGCACATGCAAGAATTCAAGGGAGTTGCTAATCAACTAATTTTATATTTATATATCATCATATCTCTTTAGGTCTCAATTTCCCCCCTACTCACCCTGCCCCAACAATATTCATGAGGTTTTAAGGCCAAAGTGTGCCCGGCTCCTGTCCTAGGATAACAGTTATTTCTAGTTTTCATTGCATGTCACGAGCAAACATGGTTTGATCCTTAAGAAAAGTAATGCTTTTTTTTAAAACTGGGAATTGAACTCAGGGTCAAGAAGAGTAATATTCTTAAAATTATGTCCCTTTTCTTTCAAAGAAGGGAAAATCTTGCTTTTCCTAAATATCACGTAAACCCTAACTTAGAACAAGTTTGACTTTCACATACTGGTCTCCTGTCACACCATTGAAAGGGGTAATTAATTAAATAGCACAGACAAAACAAATAGATAGAATTGTCAGGCATAGTCAGGGACAGAAATGGGTTAAATCTGCAGGTGTGCCTTCCTATGCTTACCCAGCACCGTTTTTGGTGGGCTTGCCACCCACTGAGAAGTGACTTCAGCAGAAATCCAAAAATAATGCAGGGAGGAAAAACAAGCCAGTGATTCTCTCCAGTGGCAAATTATACTCCATGTACTTATTTTTGGTGCTAGAGATTGAAGCTCGGGTCTCACACATGCTAAGCATGTGCACTAATGAGCCACATCTCAGGCCCTCTAGAGTGCATGGTATAAAGCATTGGGTCCTTGACCACATTGTCATTATGGAAATTAAGAAACAAAGGAATTGAAGATCATCTAGGTGTCTAGGAATGGCTTTGAGAAATAAAATGGAAATGAAGAGTTGGTGAAGGCAATTTAAAATCATAAGAGGTTATTTGATGGAAAAGGGGATATCTACACCCTACACTATAACGTTCAGGGGTCTCGAGGCACTCTGTGGATCCCTGCCCCCCCCAAAAAAATATTAAAAATTATGCTTTACAATTGTGTTGGTATAAAGATGAATGTAATTCAGGTTGGTTTCTATTCAGTTTTCTTCTTCTGATTTTAAAATAAATTGACATACTTCTGTGAGCCCTGAGGCACTGTAGGAGAAATCAGCCTTGTATAGATAGCATTTTTTGAAAATAAGAAATCATCAAAATGCAGGTAGAACTGCCCAGTAATTATCCCATTGTTTTACATAAAGGGGCCTCTCATGGGCTCTTTCTGAGTCCGTCTTCCCCAGCCCTGCCAGCACGGGCACTACTGGGGAATACACATATGCCCCAAGACAGGGGTTTAGCTGGGACAGTAAAAATAGAAGAATTCCTTGACCCACTTTACGGATCTGCCCAGAGCCAGTCTCAGTAGGTGGGGATAAAATACCAAATTACACCCCATGACATCAGTATCCTGGTAGGGCAACTTATTGAAATTCCACAACCCCTAAAGCTTAACCAGGTTAACTCCTGGTTAAAACACATGTTTTTAACTGAAAAAGTTCAGTAGGTGCTGAATTAAGTCTCAAGACAATAAAGATTGAAATCAAGTGTCTCCCCATTCTGAGTGTTGTTGCTCCCCATCTTGGCCCATGCACCAAGAAAATACTCTTTTTCCTGTGCACAACACTCTGCAAGAATATGGACTTACCTTTGGTTAACTTATAGTAGTAAATGTGTCTAGATTGATGTGAATCATTAAAGAAACACCCTAAATTCTTAATTACCTGCATTGTCATGCCAGAGATCACTCCCAGTACTTTGGCCCACCTTTAGTGCAGTTAAGACATCCCAGGGCATTATGCAATGCCAAAGAGGTTTCTGCTGCATAATGCCAAAACATGTTTTAGATAGCTTTAATTTTGAAATTTTAAAATAAGATTTTAATCACTTTGAACTAGCCTATCCCATATGTGAATATTAGATCATCTCAAACAACCTATCTGCAACATACAAAACAGCGGTGTGAGGGCGCTATTCACTGCATAACCAAGACTGGATCTCATTAAATACTAAAGGGTTTCAACTTCCCCACACTTGATGGTGACAGAGAGCCATCTTTTATAGGTCTGGAAGTCAGAACTCAATACCTGCCTCCTCTTAGAGCCAGAGACAACTTTACAGATTAGGGCTTAGATTTGGGCAAGGGAAAAGCACCTTCTCTCTGTAAGAAGAGCGTAGCCAAAGGGCTGTCTGGAGGAACCAGGTCCACAGGACGTTTGCCTTCGTCATTTCTGGCCTGGGCGTTTGCTCCGAAGTCCATGAGCAGGCAGGCCAGCTCCTCATTGCACAGCCTGGCTGCTGCATGAAGAGGACAATCCAGACCCTTGCCTTCATTCACATTGGCTCCTAAACAATCACAAGAGTAAAAGGTGATCAGCCAAGGAGCAGAGCCCAAACCTTCCCCTGCTTACAACACTGAACCTTAAACTTCCTCAATGAAAGTAAATCCATGGGAAGCACAGTAATTCTGTGAAACAGGGACATGATTTGATCCTATGTAATACATGAGGAAAATGCCATTTGGGACTGTGACTGGATGTACCACAAGAGCTGGGCAGCATATGAAGTTAAAATGTTTGCCACTGAGCATTACTCACAGAAAAGATACACAGAAGACAAATCATGGTGATGTGAAAGCATGTCACATGCGCTATGAACACAGTCTAAGAATTAGTCAGTACTGCCCCAGCATGGTGGAGCACTCATGTAATCCCAGTTATCTAAGAGACTGAGGCAGGACAACAGCTACACGTTTAAGAAGAGCTTTGACTACATAGAGAGACCCTGCCACAAAGAATTAGTCAATACTGAGAGTAGAGATAGAGGGTGAAATTCTGTGTACACCTAGCTACCAAATTCATATTCTGAGCTACCACCATGGGGCCTAAAACATGGGACTTGAGACTGTGAGATTTGGACTGCAAAAAGCAAATAAATTGTGTGTCAGGGGGCATCTCTTAGTTTTGGATGGCCAATCCTAAAATCAAGGAGAAGTTGGCCAACTTCTCTTCAGGAAGAGAGTGGACCTAGGAACATCTCCAACCTGGTTCCATCCCTACATTCTTAACAAACACCAACCTAGTTCCTGCCTCTTGCAGTGACATGTTAGGACATGTAACTTTTCCTGAGCTGCAGTCTCTCCAGCAAAATTAGGATCTATGTCCATTCAACCAATGTTACTCAACTTGGTCTTGTACTATTTTTGACTTTGTGAGTAATGTAAAACAGGGCTCTTTCCTGCTTAGAAGCTTAAAATCTACCTTGTGGATTATAGGAGAGGGAAGGGGAGAAATGAAGAAAGAGTGCAAGACAGAGACAGAGACAGAGAGATAGAGGGACAGAGACAAGAGAGACAAAGATAGTGACATAGAGAGAGATGGAGACATAGAGAGACACAGACAGAAAGACAGAGAATTATGCACGAATATGAATGAATCTCTTAATTCAAACAAATGGCTGTCAATAAATGGAAAGCAGTATGCCTACAAGAATATTCAGTACAAGGAGGGACCTTTGGATGTTTTTAAATGGTGACAACATTTCTCATTTATTAAAGGTAGGAAAAATCCAGAAGGGTAGGGAAAAATATCAGCTCTGCTAGTTTGGGCCAAGTAAGCATAAGAAAAGGGAAAAAGAAAAACAATAAAGGTTCACCCTACGTAGGGTAGGCTCCTATGAAGGGATATGATAGCCCGGGATGTTAAAGCATGAAATGGAGTCAGATAATTAAAGAGGTGGTGAAATAGTGTCCTGTGTGTTGAGAAGTGGGCTGGCAATGGCAGGAAAGTAAGATGAAGTGATAGTACTTAGGCCTTTACAGGGAAAATAAAATACTTGAAATGGGGCCAATTCAACTTCCAAGTCAGAGACCAGTGAAGACAGTCTCAAATAGGAAGACAGCCCAAATCCAGAATCTTTGCAAGTTAGGCAGAGCCTAGTCTACAATTGGCCAGAAAAGAGGTGGAGGAAAAGTCTGAGGAAATAATAACCAATGTGAATCACCCAGGGAAGGGGTATCAACATCATCATCAACATCACGTCATCATCATTGTGTTCATGAACGAGACAACTAAAATTCAAGCAGTGTAAAACAACCCCCGTGGGAACACAGCAAAACTCTGATCTTGCCTAACTCCTTGCCCAAACTCCTGCCTCTGCCACAATAACAAAATCTCTAAAATATATTTAATTTTGTTTTCATTTTTCCCCTCTCTTTTTGTCTTACCTGACTCCAGAAGCTTCTTAGCACAGGCTAGCTGTTGTTTTTCACATGCCAAGTAGAGAGGGGTGCCCAGGTGGCTGATGTAATGGTTAATATTGGCACCATAAGCTACAAGGGACTCGATGCACTCCACATGGCCTGCAATCCAAATCAGTAGAAACCAGTTACAGAACAGGTTCCCTTAACTAGGGAAACAGCATTTTCCCCATTTTTTTTTTGCATGGTTAAATTTACCAGTAACGTACCCAGAGATCAAAAATGACTTCCTTTACTTACAGTGTGGGGTGATTTTAAATATTGCATCAGTTAAAGGGTTGGGCCAATGATGCAATCTGCAACTGAGGCTAGAACTATACTTAAATTCATTAGTCACAGCAAGCAAGCAGCAAGCAGCCACATTTTCCAATTGTTTGTGGCTAGTTGAAGAGCAGGAACTGAAAGTGGACTTGAAGAAAGGATGTGATGTGGGCCGTGGGACAGGGAAAGAAACTTGTGATCTCACCAAGTCCACAGCTGGCACAGGCAGAGTTTGCAAGAAGCTGCCAAACTCAATAGGAAAAGGACCTAGTCTGGCAAACTAGATTTGGTGAAAGCTGAATCACTGTGCTTCAGTCCAGAATGTCATATTTGAAACAATGCTCCTTCATGTTTTTCTAGTTATGTCATTTTAGCTGTGTGCCTCCATTTTAGCTATATGAGTTGGCATGTCTCAAGTAAATATCAATGTTTAGGGAGACAATCATCTTTTGGATTGGTCTTGTCAAATGGAAACCATTCTGGAAAGATATCAGGGAAACAAAAAGTCCTCCGTCAAAGTATAGTCATGATGCTGATGGTAAACATTAGAGAAAAGCAAAACTTGCAATTTTGTCATTTGTCTCAGAATTAAGGACACCAGGAAACCTGTGGCTTTATGAAAAGAATGGACTCCAATGGAACATAACATGATATATAATTCCAGGAATTGAAATTTGTTTCATTTGACAAACTTAGGTGGTCCTGAGATACTGCTCTTCAAGGCCATAACATACAAGAATATAATTTATATTATTAAAAAACCCTTCATTTCATGGGTTCAACAATAGAATCCATAAATGTTGGTAGAGAGTCTACTATTTATACCAGACCCTATTCCAGAAATATAATGGTAAACATTCCAACTACTCTAAAATGAATATTTTCAAGCTTCCTGTGTAGAAAAATTACCAGGAGGGCTTATTAAATTAAACACAGATGGATGGACCCCCCCATCAGAGTGCCTTAATCAGTGGGCCTGGAGTGAGGTCTAAAAGGCCCTCATCAGCAGGTCCTCCCCTGCTGGTACTTCTAGTGCCAGGATCCCACTCTCAGAACCACTACTCTAAATCATATCCTCTTCCCTCTTTCTTTCAACAGTGAAACATCCCTTAAAGGACTGGATGGAAAATCAGAAATTCCCAACAGATTTACCTCTTTTAGCAGCCTCATGGATTGGAGATGCCAGATCATTCTCTGAATTCGGGCTGGCTCCATTCTGCAGAAGCAGATTAACACAGTCCAGGCTGCCACTGATGCAGGCATTAAACAGAGGAGTGTGCCAATCTGTGCTCATAGCATTCACCTAGGGGAAAAAGCTCCAAGGTGAAGATGCGCAAGGGATACACTCTCCCACTGAAAAGGCATTATTTAATTTCTCTAAGCCTTAAATTCCACAGCTCTAAAAACAAGGAGAAAAGTACCAGAGTCTAGAAGCTTGCTATGAAAAAATCTGAATGAGGTATTGAATCAAGGAAGCAAGAATATTACAAAAGTTTCTATTTCTTTGCCCTGTCCAGGAACATCAACTTTAGAACCAATTAGGATAATTTTGATTACTTACAAACTATCCTTTTCATTTTAAACTTTCATTCTAGACCAATCCAGACTTCTCATAGCAACCAAGGAGATATTCAGATATTGTTAAAATATAATTTTAAGTATTATAAAACAAGGCTTTCATAGAAATGTAGAGTTAACACATGCCAAAAGATTTCACTGAATTCATTTCTTAATGAGGAAACCAGTAAGATGGTAAGACTAGCTCAAGGGGTAATTTATATAGTCAATAGACTGCTTAAATATTCTTATCAATAGATACAAAACTGTTCAATGTCCTATTATGGCCATGAAAATATAATCTTTGGGGTTATCTTTTCTAATGTTTGAAGTCTGAAATTTACAAGTGCACATCTAACATCACAATGTTGGGGCTATAATTGAATAGTAATGAGCAATGTCAAATGCAGATATGGGGGCCAGAAAGATGGCTCAGTAGAATAAATGCTTGCCTGGCAAACGCAAGGGCCTGAGTTCAGTCCCTGGTTCCACAAAAAAATAATGCAAATATGTTCTTCTCTATTGTTAAAGAACTCTTTGGTGAATATTTGAAAGGATGGTATTACGAGGACAATGAATTCATGCTTACATTCTATTTCCAAGTAAGGGGACCTGCCCATTAGCTCAGTTGTTTAAGTGCCTGCTTAAACAAAGCATTCAAGATCAAGCTGCTGTGGTTTGAGCCCAGATACTCACAGCAAACAAGAAATGCCCTAAGGCATCTTCTGGCCTCAAAAAAAAAAAAAAAAACCAAAAAAACAAAAACAACAACAAAAAAAAACCCTTCTATTTCCAAGCAAGACCAGGGTCTGAATGAGGTACAAAAGATGCCCCAGATGTAGACTTTCAGAAGATGTTCACTGTTAAAGTCACAAAAGTACCAGGGGACGCTGGAGTGAACATGTCTTGAAACTGTGTAATCTATGTACCTCTTTTTCTTCACCTTAGCCTTGATGCTGTCTCTAATTTTTGAATAAGTTTCTCCAACTCACACATAAATCTGATGATACAATCATCTCTGGTTTTCTACTAATTTCAGGACAAAGCCTTCTTTTGGACAGACAAGGTCGCTTACGTTCAGAATGCTCTCACTCAATCTAGTCTGACATAAGGATGGGTCACAGAAATGAGCTCCCTTCCACTGCCAAGCCTTCGAATTTGCTTTCTCAGTGGCTGGGAAGCCTATAATTTCTCTTGCCTCTCCGTTCTTCTGCCTCCAACAGGTCCTCTAAGTTTCACCTTAGATATCATATCTTGTAGGAAGCTTCTTTGGACTCCCTTTCTCCAGGTGAGAGATAAACTATGAATCATGTTTGTGCTTGCAACCACCCTCCTGGTGTTTAACACTTAATATATTTATTGTAGTTTGCAAAATGGTCACGGGTTCTTTCTATCACTGTATGCCTACTCCCTTATCATATGGTTTTGTAAATCTTCCCATCACAAGATCGAGACTATTTTTCCAAGATTTCTATCCGGACCTGCCCATGTGACTTGCTTTTAGAAAATATGTTGTAAGAAGAGAATCTGCCCTCATCTGCTGCTCTTGCAGCCCTTTCTACTGCCATGTGACCAAGTCCTGGCTGCTTGCTAAAGGGTGAGCGAAGTATAGATGTCTGTCTTCCCAGACAACCCAGACAAATACTACGTACTTTCTACAATACTCCACTACCCTCCACTCTTAGCAATGAAGACCGAAAATCCCCAGCTACTTATTTGTCAAGGCTGATGAGCAAAATACTAGAAACTTTAAACATAATCTTCTAGCTAAAAATTCAATATTGTACCTATTGCTAAAGTAACAAGCTCTAAAGGATATAACAACTCTTGAAAACCACCATTCTTCCTATTTCAAATCAGAAAAACCGTAAGTGCTGCAAATTATACAGAAGAGATAGAAACATTCATTCTTAGATATCATTTGTTTCTAAGATATAATTTGAACCATATTTACCTCAGCTCCATGTCTTAATAAAATACTTGCACAAGATGGATGACCTCCAAGACAGGCTTCATGGAGTGGGGACACATGATCTGCAGTGCTGACATTCACAGGCCACCCCTGGCAGACAGACAACAAATGTGATGAAGATGCTAAGTAGCAGTGCCATGGAATTAGCTTTCAGCCATTTTTCTAGTATGATGAGAGTTCTTTGAAAAGTTAACTTGGACTGTCAGTCCTCCACCATATTGTTCTTGTGGTACAACCACTAATTAAAGCTAGTGACACACATGCCTACACCCCAACAATTTCACTCTTAGTTATGTACACTCAAGAAATACACACCTAGATAAATATATGAGGAGCCTCGCAACAACATTAATTATGACAGCTCAGAGCTACAAATAACCTGAATGTCCATCCCTAGTGAAGAAAATTGGTAAACAAGAATCATCAGAGAAATATTATACTGAACAAATTTTAATTGCAAGCAAGTTCAAGGATAATGCTTGCAAGGACAATGCTGAGAAAAGAAACAAGAACCAAAATAATGCACAGTGAGTGATTACATCAATGTGAAATTAAAAATTAGGTACAGTTAACCTATACTGTTTCAGAATACATGCATAGGAAGTAGAACCATAAAAAATCAAGGAAGTCAGGATACAGTTACTGGAGCCAGAAATGTGCTATTTCACCATTTCTTGATCTGAAGGGATTCCGCTCATTATCATTATTTCTTAAAGTGTACATACGTGTTTTAATCCCCTTTTATGTTTGTTCACCATATTTCTCAACTTAAAAAATTTTCAAATCAGGTTAGATAACTTGCTAGGTTTAACAAGCAATTATTGAACTCTAACAAATTCACAAGTGATTCTTTCTTGTGGGAAGATTAAAAGGAAAACTTGAAACTGCAAGAAAATGCAGAACTATACTATATGTGCCTTTTAGGAAGCCCGAATTTATGTTATTACTGTGTATTTCTGGAAGTGGTAGTTCTTTAAATACAAGTACTGTACTTAGGAATATATAAGATTTGATAACATATGTAATAAAAATAAAGGCCCTGTCTAATTCTTTTTTCAAAAGAAACCAATGTTCCATTCCTTGACAATTAAATTTATTTTCATGGCTTTCCTAGCTTTGTTTTGACTTCATGAAAGCAATCAGCAAACTACAGCCCATGAGCCAAATCCAGCCTACAACTTCTTTTTGTATGGGACATTAGCTACAAATGATTTTTATATTTTATTTTAATGTTTCATTAGTATATGTTTGTAGTATATAATGTTCACATTCATTATGGCTAATTTATATGTGCTATATCTTAAATGGTTAAAAAATCAAAAGAATATTATTTTGTAACACATAAAATTATATGAAATTCAACTTTCAGTGTCCATAAACAAAGTTTCATCAGAACATGGCCCTGCCAACTCTTTTGTATTGTCTATGACAGCTCTTGTGTTACAGTGACACAGTTGGACAGTTGCAACAGACACTGTTTAGTCTTTGAAGCTTAAAATATTTATTATCTGGCCCTTTATGGAAAAAAATTGACAACTCTTGTCTTTATAGAAAAAAATACATCTTTTTTTGCTTTACTATTTGCACCCATGATTTGAATATCTAACTGTCAAGGGAAAATCCTGTTATTTTTCACATGGTCATCATATTGTCTTAAAGTGGTTCAGTCAATGCCAACATGGGGTGGTTTTCTCATGGGGCAAAAGTTATGAGAGTGTATCTGATACAGATGGTTGGAGGACAAGTCCAGGTGCAGAATTTGGGCAGTGGATAATAACAAGAAGAGGCACCCTTTAAAAAAGTGCAGAGTTGGTCAGTAGTGCAAAACAAGCAAGGAGTGATCATCAGAGCTCCATTGCCTCCAGTACTGCATGCTTCCTCCCGCCAACTGCAGTGTGCAACTTGGAAGAAGATGCCTTCCCATTCTACTCAGCCCAGTCCGTCCAATATAAACTAGGGATCTACCCAGGCCTTACTAAGAATGCCCAGTGTGAAACTAGGAATGATGAGGGAGAGAACAAAGTGAGCTTCACCTTGCCTAGTTGTGCATATCTTTGGCCCATGAGCCTTTCCATGATTCGCGTCTCAATATTCATATTCCATGTAATCCTTTCCTCTTGGCTGAGGGCTGGATTTAGGAATATTTTTTTCTGGATTTAGGAATATTTTCTAATGAAGAGAATATGCAGTCCATAGTTCATGTCCAGGAGTAGGTTATTGCCTTCCATGTCTGTACTCTCGTGCTTTCTCATTTGTTAGCTTATATGTTCTGATGAGATCCTTGACAAGGATTTAGAAGTTTCTAGCTGACAGCCCACCAGGCATTAAGGCCCTCAGTCCAACAACCCAGGAGAAATTCAGTCTTGCCAACAGCCTCGTAAGGAAACTTGGATACAGATCCACCCTTAGTCAAGTCTTAAAGATGGATGCACATCTTGATTGCCAATTTACAAAAGACTCTGATCCAGTGAAATTTGGTCTATATGCCTGACCCACACATTCTGTGACAAACTCACATGTTTATTACTAAGTTTTGGGATAACTTGTTACATAGCAGGAAATGACTAATACAGGGGCAAAGTACTAAGTAATCCTCCATAAAGAAATGTCTGATGGACTGAGCGCAGGGTCTGTCAACCTCTAGGAACATGTGCTTTGAGGAGATGAGTCAGAATCCCAATTCAAACAACATGAAATAGCTCCAGAAATGGCTCCATAGCCGCATGCTCTTGGAGCACATTGCCCGACACTTTTTTTAGAGACAGGATCTCACTTTTCAGTTCAGCCTGGCCTTGAGCTCACTACCTAGCCCAGGCTGGCCTTAAACTCACAGTGATCCTCCTGCCTCATCTACAGTGCTGGGATCACCGGTGTGTGCTGCCACCACATCGAGCAGAACACACTCTCCTTAACTTTAGGAAAATTGTGCAGTAAAAATTCTTTTATATCTTAGATACAGTTAATCACAGACTCAGTTATGTTTCATACATTTTGTTACCAAGTTGCTTTAAAGATGTCTAAAATTGTTCCTCACTCTCCATCATTCCTGAGGCTCTTACTGTCCTCGTAATGCAGAACCTGCATTAATGCACTTACCCTTCACAAGTTCCACCTCTGCGCTATACAGTATGGCAGCAGCTATTTTGTGGCTCGCATTATTATTTTGTTATTTTAATGGAGGCATGCCCTCAAATCCTTTTTGGTTTTATTCTCAATATTCTATATTGGTCAAATCTCACTGTCACTGCAAGGAGTTGCAAGAAATTCATAGCACAAGCATTAAAAGCACTCTGCTCTGTGTAACAGATTATGAGATAAAAGTGTTCTTTGAAGGAATTGTTATGAGGTATTTCCTAATTATAAAAGCATCCCTCAGTTCAAACTGTCATGTTTAAACCAGCATTTAGAGCATTTATGTGTAAGTAAATCCAGGTAAATGAAACACAATAAAAATTACTCACAATACCAAAATCTTCCATCACACATTATATATTCATATAACAAAGCAGTTCCTATAAATTTCCAGCTGAAACTGTAGGCTATTATTTGTATCTCATTATGAAGTCAAAGTTCTACTTTCAATGAACTTTAGTAATTGATGTAAATAATTGAAAAGTCTGAATCATATAGTGTCATAAGGTAATTTGTAATCAATTATTTCACACGCTATTGAGTCCACGGTGGAAATTTAAGTTTTAAAAAAGTACGTATTTTCAGTTTAAAAAAAATAAAGATAAATACTCAATTATTGAGTATTTATCTTTAATTTTTCTATTGGCAGTTGTCACCTCATCTCAGCCAATAGCCAGAAACTCTTTTAGGTGAGTCTTTGGAGCTATACAATGTTAGAGTCCCCAGGGACAATATAGTACAGAGTACCTGGTAATATTTTTCATAGCTACCCCCACAAGTCATGTTCATATGGGCTAAACCAACTGGCCACAAAGATGGTTATGCTTTGTTTCTGTTCACAGCTAACACTTGCTTCTATGCACACAGTAGATAGGCAGGTTATGCGCATCTGTCCCCCTCACATTCATCAGAACAGATCATTCTCTTCCCACTTGACCAAGGGGATCACAGCCACTTGATGTGAAAGTCCTATATTCTCCTTATCTCACTTCTAAATTCACTGTATTTTCACCAATCTTCTTCCCTTTGCTCCTTTCTTTGAGGAAGAAATACATGAACTTATCCAACATCCCTTGACCTCAACTGTCCCCTTCCACCCTCATGACCTTCAACTATCCACCTTCTCATTTTCATTCATTTCTAAGTTCTCTCTCTTTCTGACATGCTTTCCTATTGCTTTGTAAGTCCACTCATCCTTCAATCTGACACTCTGGCAGACTGTCACTCAATGCTTATCTGCCCTTCACTGTCCTGTTTATCCCCAAACTGCCATGGCTTTGGTTTCTCCTTTTGCCCCTTCTCTTATATTTTCCCCCATGCAGTCTTGCCAAGACTTTTCTTTGTGTAATTCAATACACAGTACTTTTTTCTCCATATCCCTCAACCTCTGAATTTACTACATGTTCTTCTTGATCTCATGAAACCTCTCCTCTGGCTTCTACAACACAGTTCTGTCTAAATTCCATCCACTGGGCACTCTTTTCATGTCTCTTTCATAAACGCTTGTCCTTTTCCTCCTTACATCCCCTCAAATAGGCAGCCTCTCAAGAATTTGCCTTCAAATCTTTTTGCATTCTCTCAATACTTTTTACATCCCATTCACACATACACACACACAATTACTTTCCAATCTGAACCTCCACCCCTGGTAGATGTTCTCATCCCTGCTAAGACATAACCACTTAGAGACCTAGATAGCAACATGAATTCAACCTTGTTCAGGGCTGGGGAGATAGCTCAGTAGAACAAGCACTCACCTGGCAAGCACAGTGTTCTGAGTTCAATCCCTGGTACAGAAGAAAAAAAAGTTCAACCTTTTCCAACTTAAAACAAAAAGCTCCTTAATTTTCTAAACCTCAGGGCTGGGGAGATGGCTCAGTGGAATAAGCGCTTCCCTGGCAAGCACAAGGGCCTGAATTCAATCCCCAGCTCCACCAAAAAAAAAAAATTCTAAACCT